GACGACGATGATGATGAAGATGATAATGAAGATAATGACGTTCATTATTCTATTCTATTTTATATTCACTATTTTTGTAATTGTTGCAGAACTCTCTCAAGGCACCGAAACATGTTAGTCGAGTTATGCAAGAGCGTTACATCGATTGGGTGCTTACTTCATCTGGTATAAAACAAGCAAGACACGTTTATACGAGGTACGATTCAAAAACCAAGGAGTAGTGAAAACTTACAAATTTATTCTATCATTCTATCTCACTGCCATGAATAATCATTGCATTGAATTGGAATTTATCGAGTTGGGTTTTGCGGAGGAAGGAAAAAACAGAGAACCTGAAGGAAAACCTTCGATTGAGAAATCCGTTCATCGGTTGCAAAGGTTTTTTATTTCCGTTTCTATCATTCTCTTTGTATTACGGAAGGCACTTAAGGTTTGTGGGATGGTTTACTGAATAAAGTCACCCGACACGACTGAATTGTTTTTCCATTGGCTATCCATCTGATCGTGATGATTAACTTGTCCAGTTCATTTTGATTACTTCAAGTGTTTCCTTATTATAACGTCTATCGTCTCAAGCACATCCTTGTTAGCCCGACTATTGAGTATTCAGTAAAGAACGTTTGAAGTTGGCAAACAGTCTCAGTTTACTTTGATTCGATTAGTCAAGGGTCGCGCTAATGCCAAGAGGCATATCAGGCTCAGGTCTGTGTAAAGTTTATTCCTTACCCTCCCATCCCCTCTCCTCCATAAGTTTCCCCAGGGGAAAGGGGACAGAACAACGAAGGCTATTCAAGGTTCTTTGATTCGGTTGGCAAACTTCTAACATTTAGAGTTAACCTCACGAGCGAAGCTACATTACTTTGTTTGAAATAATATGTAAAGAGAATATTAGATGGACGTGCAGAAATACGAATTATATCTAAATAAATTCTCCTCAATAATGAGTTTGGTCAGTTTTGGAAGAAAGTTCATATCTTAGCAGTGTAAGCAGTGTGGATGTTACTTATAATACCAGTGCGCACGATAAATGTTAAGGACAAAGTTGTGTAATGCGTAAGAAATGATTGACGTGGTATTCCTGTGTTTTTTTGATAGATGGTTCAGTGATCAGTCCCTACCCTTATCGTTAATAAAGAAATGTGTTGATCTGGAGAAAGCACAGGTATGGATAGCTTATTATTGCAAGTGGTAATAAATAAGAAAGGCACGCGAGAGGAGAGAGGTGAGAAAAGGGACTGTGCCTCATTGATTACCGCAGTTAAGTGCTGGAGCTTTAGACACCCTACAAAAACCTTGAATCTGGGTGACAATTAAAACCTCCCTCCTCCCCCCCTTATTCTCAAAATTGAATGAAAAAAAAGAAGAAAAGCAATCTGAATGCTCTCTATTGTAACCAAGATTGAAGAATGACATTTTGAACATGGCTGTTCCGGATACTCTTGAGTTATTCTTACACGTCTGAGTCTAGTACTGATGTTATTAACCTAGGCTACGCTCGACCTACACATTCAAATATGCGAGAGAATCTGCCTTTTGAAAAAAATATTCGCGCTCAAAACTTTAAAAGGCTGAAATTTATCTAATGAGTTTTTGTGAGATGGATCATGAGAAAGAAAGAAAAGAAAGGAAGAAAGAAAGAAAGGAAAACTGGGATCTTCATAGGCTCGTAAATCGTAAAGTTTCACACATTTGGGTTCAAGTGTTTGCTGTTATATTTCAAGTGGTTACTTCAGCTACCAATAAATCTGTACTTGAACCATGACACTCTCCTCTCCTTTATCCCTTGGATTTAATTCTTTATCTTAATCTTAKTTAAAGCCGAGCATACAGCACCTCAGGACACTGTATGACGTGATGATCGATCACTACGGAGACGCCTATTCAGGTATGTCCTATCCATGGTCAAAACATAGGGCTACTTACTGATGCTTGCGGGACTAGTTGTTAAGTAATAGAGGTTAAAGCGTACGTGCAAAACCAGCCAAGTGGATGTATAACTCAATAAATGCGGTGACCTTTTCTCTTATAACATGTCTAGAACAGAAAGGGTCCTGATAGGTTAGCAAATATAATAAGTACGTAACCTCGACGATGCGCGCGCACTTCGTAATCAAGTCAGCGTGCAGTCCGGTATCGAGTTGGAGCAGACATCGTACGAGTGTTAAAAAATCCCATGACTGTGACGGTGCCGTGAACAAGCATTTCGATTGGCTGAGCGGTATTCCCGCGCGCTGTGATTGGTTCAAAGTATACATTACTACTCCTTAGAGCGGTATTCTTCTTATGAGTGGGAAACGGGACGTCAAATTCTCCCATTTCGAGTTCGCCTTTGCTCAGTCTTTAATAGCCTCGCGGATCGTGTACAAATATGTTCTTTTATTAAGGTCTATTGTATAGTAAGGAATGTATGTTTTACGATACCATACGCGTTTATTAAAATGCTACGGGTATTGGTTGAATATTTTAACGTGCAACTGAGACTAGGGCTGGGCGAAAGAGAACTCGAACCTGGAGTAAGCCGTAACTACGCGTTGTGATTGGAAGAATTACTGCAAGACAATGGAAAGCTATCTCAATGTTACGGCATGTCTTAACGTGTACCTACTGTAAGTCAGTACCGTATGTTTTCCATTCGTACGATAACCATTCTTATGGGAAGTCATTTCACTGTTACGGCATGTCTTAACGTGTACCTACTGTAAGCCAGTACCGTATGTTTTCCATTCATACGATAACCATTCTTATGGGAAGTCATTTCAATGTTACGGCATGTCTTAACGTGTACCTACTGTGAGTCAGTACCGTATGTTTCCCACTCATACGATAACCATTCTTATGGAAAGTCATTTCAATGTTACGGCATGTCGTACCGTGTACGTGCTGTAAGTCAGTACCGTATGTTTCCCACTCATACGATAACCATTTATATGGAAAGTCATTTCAATGTTACGCCATGCCGTACCGTGTACGACAATACCGTGTAATTCTATTCTCTCTCATGTTTCTAGACTGTTGGATTGATTACATTCACCTTGAGCTGACTCATCCGGAAGGAAAGCTGGACAAAGCAGGTCGCCTTCACTGGAGTGCACTCAAACGACTCTCAGGGGTAGAGACGGAGGTTTTTGTCACCAAGTATTCCTTGATACAGGCAGGCAGACTTTAGACTTATCATTTGGTTCAGGGATTTCAATATTTTAAAATTGAATGATTGGATATTTTTTTACGAATGAATTACTTATCAATGCAACACGATGCCTTCCTTATACATACCTTCTCTGGGAAAATGACACGCAATATCTATCTGAGTACTGTATACCCGGGTTGCATAGCGCTAGCTAAATCAAAGTAAAAACGTCTGTAGGTCTACTAAAATGTGTGGTAATAATATCATGGTGGATATGATGGAAGATTAAAAGTGTTTTACGTTGTGTAATGGCACGAAATAGTGCGCGAAGATTAGTCGCATGGCCCACCATAACGTTTGCATGTGAGGTAAAGTAAATCTGTTTCATCTCGGTGCGTTTTCACGGCATGACGCACCCAAGTTATGCAGACTACATTCTTCGTAACGAGTTCAAGTGATTTTTAACGAGAGGATAGATATTAATAACGGTTAAGAGCAGCAGCGGGAGTTGAATACATCAAGTTCAGCGCGCTATCTTGTCTAGACACTTCTTTTCTCACCCTCACCAACTGCTTTCTCCTTCAACTTGTGATTGTTATATTTTTCGCGGGCTAGAAAGATGAAAACGATGTTTACTCATTGCCGCAATTCGATGGAATAACTTATTAAGACCTTTTTTTAACAAGACACTTAAGATGGAGAAAGGGAGAAACGAGCATGGCAATGACGTACTTATAGGACGTGTGTGTGCGTGTGTCTGTTGTTTGGGTGGGCATTTTCGGTTTGTACATGATGTACAATTGTTAGTGTATAGTCGATATAGTTAGAACGATTGTTGGTTTGAACGAAGATGACGATTCATGATTGATGTGAATTTTGAGTAACTACACTGAATAACAGAAGCATGCGATGACCTTGCGACAGACAGGACACATTTATTCTAGCACTCATACATGCGATAATTTGTTTTTAATGCATGGTAATAGTTTTGAATTCATTTATTAACGTTAATGTAGGTGCATGGTAGTGATAGACCTCCTGTTGGTCGTAGTCACCATGATTATCACTGGGGGGTGGTCGAGCTGTATTCCTGGTGACCAGATGTCTTAGTCATCCTGGCCGGAATGCAATCATCTCCCACACGCTTAAGTTGTACCTACCGCGTACCGGGTTTCCCTTAATCCCTAGGTAACATATGCTCATGCAAACATCTGTCAACAATATCCCGAGATTCCTAAACCTAAATCCTATTAAAAGCAGACTTCCTGCGGAAACTTTTCCGTAAGAAAAAAATGAAGGCTCTTTTATTTATTTATTTTTCCTATCAAATGTAGCTATTTCTTCATATTTCTTTTTTCTTTTCACCTCAGCCTAGTAGAGTAGTATGTTGGTGTGATATTCTACACCTCTTGCCTCGTAGAGAGCCTTATAGAGACAGGAGTAATGTTTTGTCTGGGTTATTTTACGCATTGTCGCGTCATGTTGAAGGTTTAAATCACCCCCAAGTCTGTTTTGAGCCTTGCCGCATTTCTTCTACGGCATTCCAGAACTACTTGTCTCGCGCCTGACTTACAGGGTTTCATACTACACTAGTCTTGTGCGCATCAGTCCAACAAACAAACCTCGCAGTCGTCGTCGATCAAACATGAACTCCGCTACCTTTTTATTTTTCCTTCTGGTTATCTCCTTCGTGCGGAGTGAAATACCTTTTTCTACAAGCATGGGTAATCCGCGCAACTATCCATTTGGGTTGTTGCGTCGACACAAGATTACTAAAATGCAACCAAAGGACCTGGTGGATGAATGCCGTGATTGCCAACCTTTCCCTACACCAGCAGATCTCGATGTCTCTCGTTTAACGAAGCTGATTGGTGGCACGCTGGACTACAACCTTGTATCYATAATCAAACCAACTAATTTTAGCTCATCAACACAAGATACACTGCATACGAAGACGGAAGCGTTAAGAGATTTGATCATCAACAGCACAAAAGAAATGAAGATCAATGGAGGGACTCTCTCTAAAGACCAGCAACAGTTTCTCGTTAGTTGGCTCCAGGTTTTCTCAAGTTGTTCGCTAAGAAAAGTGTGGAAAGACATGGGTCCCTTCTCTTGGCCAAGATACATCAAGGTACCGTGGTCTTGTTAGTTTTCGTAAACGATTGACACAGTACGTTTTTTTCTCACAACTGTCGCGCACAACATGCTTACGCCAAGTTTTAGCTTCCATTAACAGTCCTAAGCAAGTTGTACGGTCGATTTACACGAAGCAATTCGTGTCGTCAGTATGTTGCGCGCGACAGTTGTGAGGGAAAAATGTACCCTGTAAATCGTACCGATTCCCGTTACAATCTTACTTTACTCCATCAATACTCGTAACTTTTTCATCATATAAACTCATCAATTTTATCTGAATCCTGAAACAACCTGTTGGCTGATCTAATGCAAGGCATGACCAACTCACAAATAGAACCCTGAAACAACCTCTTAGCTGAAGTCAGGGCATGGCTAACTCACAGATCAAACCCTAAAAGAACCTCTGGGCTGATCTAAGTCAGGGCATGGCTAACTCGCAGATCAAACCCTAAAACAACCTCTGGGCTGATCTAAGTCAGGGCACGGCTAACTAGCAAAACGATTGGAATTCAAAGTGTTGGGCTTTGCAGGGAGGGAAACTAGAGGGAAACATTCTCAATGAGGAAACGTGTCGTAAACATGTTCCAGGGTCAAGTGCAGCTAGCCCGTCCCTTATCAATGGATAAGTCGTTATCAGACGCTGTTGACATTATTTTTCCCCCTCTCATCCCAAACTGGATTAAACTTTAATCCTTGAAATATAGTGCAATCAACTGAAAAAAATGTTATCATCATATACGAATATAACTCCCTTTTCAACATCCTCTCTAGTCACATTTTCGCGTTGCATCTATCATTTCGTAGCACTTTAGTGGACTAAGGCTAATCAAAGAGAGGCTGTAGTAGAATATGGCAGAGTAGAGTAAGGGAAAGGAGATTACAGGAGAGGAGGGTATATATTAAGGCAGGGCGGCTAAAACAAACAGGAGAAGATGAAATAAAAAGAGTAAATATTTAGACATTGTTAAATAGATGGGTAATTGCACGCTCTGCTCGATCTGTACTTGGGCACCGGAGACGGTCAGTATAGTGTCTTGTTATTCAATGATTATGCTGTGACTCTTGTCTGATCCCTGGATTAACACTTGTGTTGCCCTCAGGCAGCTTCGATACACCATTCTATTGTATGAAGTTAGTATTGACATAAATACGGCCTGTCTTTGATACCACCATCTATGCTTAGGCATGTGTCTGGCTACTTATTGGAGATAATCTTTCCATTGTCTATATGTGTGAATATTACGCTATTGTTGATCTAATTATCTTGTGTCTTATACCTAGACATTCCTGGTGTTGTACGTAATCGGCCGAAAAAACCTATGGTTATTCATCGAAGCAGTGCTTTTCCTACCCCTCCCCACTCCCCCATCTCCGACCCACTCCCCCCATCTCCGATTCCCCAGCCCCATGGTAAGCAGTGCATTTCATATCCCTCCCTCCCTCCACCCCCCCCCCTCCC